TAAAAATCAAAATGTAGTGTGAGAAAAAGTAGTTAAACATATTGAAAATTAATATAAACTTAGTAAAATGGAATAAGATGAGAAACAGAAATAAAATAAAATATTATGACCTGACCACACCTTTATTCTTCCTGTTCTTAAAAATAACAACAAAATTTTTATGAATCCCAAATGGTAGTATTTGCTGTTAAATTAATTAATTAACACCTAAAAATGAAAATGTTAGGGTTGGAACCACTGTATATATATGTAGATCATCTAACTCTTTTTATGAATTCTTGTAAAACCAGAACTATGGAATCTTGAATTTGCTGGATATTTTGGTAGGATTTTGAAATCTTTTATTACTCAGGGATGTTGGTTGAAGTACTGTTTATTATAACTGTACTTAACATATGTTTAAATTCTTCATGAAAAATAAGATGATCATTTGTGTAAGAATATATCTAACTATGTCCATGTCCAATTATGTGTTTTTTTTTTCTCAGAACATAAATACAGAATATTTTAAACTCTGTTAAACCAAGAACATGAAATGTTGCTAAATTTCAGGAAGGGAAGACAATGGATTTCATCTATACTGATGACATTAATAATCTCTGTGTCCTCTTGGCCTTCCAAATACATGTGGCTCACAAAATGAATGAAAGAAACAAAAAAAAGAAATGAAGACTAAGGGAAAAAATTGAGGCTGGATGACAGGCTCATTAAAATGCACAGAAAGCATCTCCAACTCCCTCGAGAAAACTGTTACCGTGAAATAATCACACTGACGAACATGGAAGGAGTGGACTCCGGCAGCGGCCTCATATTGCACCCAAGAAGTTGGTGATTATATCCTGGAAATGTGACCCCAGTGAAAGCCTAGCTGCTTTGTTGCTTAATAGAGTTCGCAGAAAATGCTTGTCTCCAAAATGAGATTTCTCCCCTATTCACTGTGTAGCCTGAGAGTCTTGACAGGATGAGCAGGGGGCCATTTCTGCTAATCAAGGGGGGGCAAGAACCCCTGGGGGCTGAAGATTGTAAGCAATCAAGCTTAGTGGTTACAGGGAAGAGCTTTTTTGCCTTCTGCTCAGTTGTCAAGTGGTCATAAAGGAAGGGTTGGGGAAGCTTCTTGAATTTGGCAGAAATAAGGGATAATAGGTCAGATGGACCTATTTTTTTTTTAGCAATTACCCCATTTCCATCTTTGAGGCTGTGAGAAATAGTCTCTTGCTGCCTAAGCAGTCTATCTATATAGAACATTTAGCTCTTAATTGAAATCTTGGTTATTCTTTCTGTTTTCTCATCCTGTTGGTTCAAATAAATATCTTATGTAGGGAGGCCTTCAGGAAACTTATCCAATTTTGTAGAAGTTTTTAAATGAAAAAGTAAATAGCAAAAAAAAAAAGCATACTCTATGATTCTTTTAATATTTGCTAAACTGTATTTGTGTGTATTCATATATATGATTGTAAATGCATTAAAAAAGCAGAAAATGAGACTATGCTATTAATGGTAGCTTATTAGGACAAGGTTAGCTGGAGTAGGATTAGAGGCAGGAATGAAGGGACACCTAACTTTTTAATCCTGAATATAGTTCTTCATTGCTTGAAATACTCCCACAAAAATGCATTCATGAATTACTTGACTAATAATAACTTTTTAAATGGTGGGAAAAAATGTGGTTAGTCCATGACTGGATCTGTGGAGTAAAATGTTACCACAAATTCAAGGATTTCCAGACACAGGTATAACCATGGGAAATTTCAAATGAATTTTCACACAGGAGATGCTGTCCCCAGCCAAAGGTTCTCTGAGGTTAGGTAAGAGATGCTTAAACCCTTAAAGACCACATGCCCTAGATATCTGTTTATCAGAGTAATCATGTTTTCCCTGGAATCTCTCAAAATGTTCCTGAGGAAATATTAAAAGAGTTCTTCAAATTTACCCAACTCAGTAAATAACATACCAACTCTGCTAAGGTATGAAAATTCAGGCCCAACCTTCTCATGTTGATTGAGTTGCTACCAGAATTGGTGTGATTTCCCCATTGTGGGTACACAGTCTATGTATTATAGAATTAAGAAGAGAGTAACTTGAAATGCATGTTTCTTGATACCAGAACTTTTATAGGTATTGGCACAATATGTGAACAGTTCAGGACACATCCTGGGAATTCAGATACAGGTCACTTCCTAACATAAGACTAAAAAATGCCTAACAAATCTCATATAACACTTGGAAATGCAATCTAAGCCAAGTGAAAATATTTTTGATTGTGGATTTACAGCCTGAGAATTAAGTTTTGGATTTAGTGTACCCTGGAATCAATAACTTCCTACAGAAATTTTTGTTTGTTAGAGGTAGGCCTGCCTTAATCCAGCAATGTGGTATTGGGTGACAAATGAGTCAGGAAATGTTCATAACTAAATACAGGCACCCAGTCACTCACATCATCCTCTCTCCAATGTCAAGGGGCAGGGTCATACCATGTCACGTGCAGCTTCTCGAACAGAGGGCCAAATTGGCCCAAATGTCTAAAATCCTTTTAGCTGAATACATTATACTAAAATCTGACAATAATGAACTAAGTTTCATTTAACATGCTTGGCTGCACTCACTTAAAGGCAATCATTACTGAAAAGACTGAGTTCTATAAACCTGTTTCCCAGCACATTGGTTGACAAGACACCCCACTGGTTATAATGCAACCATCAGGCAGAGCTTTTTATGTTCAATGTTGAACAAATTACCCTTCATAAATGGCAGATTGAGGATTCTCACTGTCAATCTTCCGTTCCACTCAGTCACATTGCCATTTCACAGAACATCTTGAATCTAGCTGAGGGAGGTCCCTAAAAATATAGAGCAAGAATAAATGCAAAAGGAAGAAGGAAGTCTAATAAGAACCTGTCTGCTACCTCAATACAGGTAAATATCCTTTGGCAAAAACACCCTCAAAGGGTGACTTCTAAAACCCTAAGGTTAATGTGTGCATCTGCAACTGGGGCAAGAATATCAAGAGGAATGGGGTTGGAGGATTTCACTTTCAGGGGAAGAACTATGTTTGCATTATATATCAAGTGTCTTACATTGCAAAAATACACAGAATTTAAAGCTGCAAGGCATTGTTTGAGGTGACCTAATCTGATCAACTCTGGAAATTTCCATCCAAATGGAAATTCAAACTCCATATGATTATTCTTCATAATGGGTCCTTCAAGTCCTCCTAAAAGAAGTCTGCATTATTAGGAACCTCTCTCCCCATATTTTTAATCTTGAGCCACAACCTGTAGTTTCCTTTGATTGTCTATCCATTTGTTCTTCCAGAGCAAAATCCTCCAACTGATTTTGAACAATCAACTTATTTTGCTAAAATATAAAATTGCAAAATAAGCTTTTAAAATGTTTTAAATTGTCACTTTATGAGGAACACAATAAAAAGTAATTTTAATGACTTTCATTTTATGAGGATATTATTAAACATTCTATTAGAAAGTTTACTCTATCATAATGATGAATACAGAGTAA